TTCTAGGAAGAACAGCTCTGTCTCCCCATCAAGCCTGCCCGTAGCACTTTTAGCTCCTCTTCACAGCATTTACTTGTTCCTGCCTTACACTTTGCTACCCAAAAGTATGTTGTTTGCAGTCATTTCTGAGCTGGTTATATTCTTTATACAAAGACTAGATTCAAGAATAATAATATGATTGCCCAGAGAAGCCAGGTCCCCAAAATTAAGATGTCTTAAGACACCTTGATCATCTTCATCTATGATTATATCAGTCAACTGATCTTGTTGGAGTCTTCTGTTGCAGTGATTCTCAATCTGTCCAACCATGATAGTAGCATCAGAAACAATGGGGAACTTGCTAGAAAGGCCATCTCTGGTCCCACTCAGAGCTACAAATCAGCAACCCTGTCTTCACCCAGACTTTGGGTAACTCTGATGTACACCAAAGTCTGAGAACTACCGAGTTAGAAGTCTCCGCTCATCTGAACCTGACCCCTCTCAGTCCACTGCAAGCAATACAGTAGCCCTGTCCTTTTGCTCAGGGTCTAAGCAACCACGACATTCTAGGAACTTTCCAAGGCAGCCACTCTGTAGAATCACTCTCATTTACTTTGATCTAAGCACAAACAGATAATATCTGTGCCACCTGATCCCTTTTAATAGCTTATTCTTCGACTACATCAACCTCTTAAAAGGAAGGACAGTGGCCTATTAAAGTTGAATACAATATGGATAAACACCTATCACCCCCACCAACTCTACAGAGCTCACATTTCCTCTGTACCATAAGGAGGAATCATTGTTGCTATGCTTTGGAGAGTCACACCTTCAACCTGTATCATCTATAATGTCTGCTTTTATCCATTTATGAATCTCAGTCTTAAACTTATTTCTCCAGACAATGTCTCAATGATTTGCTCTTCCCATTACCTGAGAGTCACCAAGTAGGCCTTCTTTTTCCTCTGTATCAAAATCAAATCTGCTCTCATAATGTCAAATGCCAATGGAATGAAAACATTTGCAGCTCATGAAGCAGTCCCATGTTCTCATTACATCTATTTCTCAATCCTTTATCTATTGAAGAATATTCCTACCTGTCTCCTGAAGTGTAGTATTTCCTTAATGAAACACCTGAATGAAGCTTCACCAGTCTGTCCACGTTCTTCCCAGCCTTTTCAAGGAATATCAACAACACTCTAGTGCTCCTGGTCCTTCCAGAACAAGAAGGATTAATGTCTACCACACCCAGACTAGTACCAGGCCCAATCTATGTGACAACACATTCTCACAGAGAAACCCTCCCCCCATGCTGCCTCAGCTGTGCCTTCTTCCCCTCAATACTGGACACACACATGACCGCCTTCCTCATCTCTTACCTCAGCCCATCACTCACACCTTGGAAATCGATGTCAAAACCCAGGAGTGCAAGCATCACTTCAACAGACCACTTCTCATTTCAGTTAGCTCCTACTCCTAGTTCACCCTATTCACAGCCATGTCACGAACTCCTCTCTAGACAAACTATACTCAGCCAGTCCCAAACATCTAAAACATAGTAAATACTTCTCTCTGCCAAACGTTTTCTTTTATATTTATTAAAGTATTCAGTTAGCCTAGCCTAAATAAATATCAGTCTTCACCTAAACCAACTCCTGTGTAGTACAGATGGCCTACTCTAAAACATCTCGGCTCTATAGGATATGTTTTTATTGCTCAAGTATCACAGGAAGTTATGTTATGTGAACATGTGTGTGCATTTCACTTTCATAATTACTTCTGTATTTATTTCTTGATATTTTTGCAAGATGTAGTAGTAGTTACTAGAAAAGGGTACACAAGGTGTTAAACATATCTTTTAGTTTTTAAAGTCTAAAAGTCAAGGCTCTCAGAAAAAATGATGCGTTACAGTGAGAAAATGAATTTCCTTTCTTTCAAATCCTGTTGGGAGTTTAGATGCCAAACTCCTTGTTGTTTTTTCATTTGCCCCAAATGCACACATTTTTTTAAACAATGTACCTGTAATTGGAATATGTACAAACTGACAATCCAAACTTATTAACGTAAACATTCCCAAAGCAGGTCACAGCATTTGGGTTGCTGTGTAGTGTTTTTGTTCTCTGTATAGCATGGATTTATATATGTATATGCATATCTCAAAACTGTTGTAAAAAAAAGGTAAGATAATACAACCAATACAAAATTTGATAAATATAACCTGTTTTTCTTTTACGGAAAGTAGAAAACGTTTTGTTTATTTTTTTAAATTAAAAAAAAATGAAAAGAAAAAGCAGAATGAGAAGGTGAGGGAGGAGGAGGAGAAGATGACAATGATAATGACAGCACATCTGGAACTCTGAGTTTCCAGGAAATACATGGCTGCCACTGAGGAAATTGATTTCCACATGCAAAAAATGAAACATACACAAAGACAAATTCAAAATGAATTAAGGACCATTAAGGACCATGTAAAAACTAAAACCATAAAATACTTAGAAGAAAATACAGAGGCAATGTTGTCAGGTCTAGCTTTTAACAATGGATTATCTAATATAATAACAAAAGCACAAACAGCAAAAGACAAAATAAATAAATGGGACCTCATAAAAATTAAAATTTTTTATTCATCAAAAGACTTTACCAAATAACCAGTGTCATAAAACAATACATGTACTAATTGTTTAATGAGAAGCTAGTTTATTCTGTAACCCTTCATCTATAGTACAAGAAAAAAAAAAAGACTTTACCAAAGAAGTGAAAAAACAAGCTAAGGACTAGGAGACTATCTTCATAAACTATATATCCAATAAGAAACTAATAATCAAAATATATATAAAGCTTTGACAACTTAACAAAAAGACAAATAATCCAATCATAAAATAGGCAAAGGACATAAATAGACATTTCACTAACGAGGACATTTAAATAGCCACCAAGTACATGAAAAGATGCTCAAAATCATTATTCATCAGAGAGATGCAAATCAAAACCACAATGAGATACTATTTCACTCCCACTAGGATGGCTAAAATAAAACAAATAATAGTAATAAAAAATAACAAATATTGGCAAGGATGTGGGGAAACTGGAACCCTTATCCATTGCTGCTGGGAATGCAAAACCGGTAGAGCCATTGTGGAAAACAGTGTGGCAGTTCCTCTACAGTCAAAAAAAAAAATTACCATATGACCCAGCAATTTCACTCCTAGGCACGTTACCCAAAAGTTTTGAAAGCAGAGACTCAAACAGAGATTTGCACACCAGTGTTCATTACAGCACTATTTACAACAGCTGAAAGGTGGAAACAACCTAAATGTTCATCAATGGATGAACAGATAAAAAAAAATGTGATACATCTATACAATGGAATACTACTCAGCCAGCAAGAGAAATGAAGTCTTGATACATGCTACAAGGATAAAGCCTGAAGACATTATGTTGAGTGAAATAAGTAAATCACAAAAGGACAAATATTGTATGATCTCACTTATATAAAAAGACAAGAACAGGCAAATGTATGAAGACCAAAGTTTCTTAGTAGTTACCAGGAGCGGGAGGGAGGGGGAAAGCGAGGATTATTGCTTCTGAAGTACTAAGTTTCAGTTTACAGTGATAGAAAAATCACATTAAGGGTAGGGCTGCACAGCCAATTAATGTAATTGTTGTCAATAAGTAGTATACCTATAAAAAGCTGAACTGGCAAAAGTTGTGCAACAGACATATTTACATCAATAACAAGAGTAGCTGCTGAGGCTGCTTATGTACAACCAAACACCTAACGGGTTTTGGTTCCTTGGTTTGGAGGCTTAGGGTCATGGTTTCATGTAACATCCCAATTAATTGGCCTAATAATGTGTTCAGTGCTTCTGTTCTACTTCTAGTTCCTTGTGTAGTACCAGGGGTCTTAAAAGCTTGCAAGAAGCCATTCAAGGTACGACAATTTGTCTCTATTCACCGGAGGCAACAGAGGAAGAAGCAGAGTCAGGAACAAGAAGAGGATATGGAATGTGTGGCTAATTGCCTCCATGAACAACTGCCTCCTTTGCCACAAGACCAGAAGAACTAGATGGTGCCCGGCTACCATTACTGAATATTTTCATCAAAGATTCTATAGAAGAATCCTGATCAAAAGGGGGAAAATGCAAACAGAATTTCAAATTCTCATGGAATTCTTTCTTTCTAGAGCCATGGAGGCTGGATGAACCCCTGAAACATTTGCCCTGAAATAATCTTTAAACCTTAAACCAAAAATGTCCCCGAAGTCTTCTTAAAACCAAACAACAGTTTAGCTTAACGAGTAAAGAGCATCTGCCTTGAGCAATGTACTCTTTTAAGATCTATCTATATGGGATCAAACTGACAACAGCAACTCAAAAGATTAGATAGTTAACTTAGGGAGCAGTAAGCTTATGTTAATGGGGGAGGAAAAACTCGGCAAAGGAGGGTGAGAATGGTTGTATGACATAATGTCACTAAATTATACTTACAGAAATTGTTGAATTGATGTATATTTTACTGTGTATACTCTCAACAACAAAAATAAAATAAATTATATATATATGTATATATTATAGCTACCTATTAGAAAGTAAAAACCCGTAGGTTTAAATTTTTAATTCAAGCTTGTAATGGATCAGCTTGGTTTTTATTGCTCTACACAATTTCCGAATTAAGTGACTTGACTATGAGTGGCATGTTTTTATGTGACACATAACATTATTAAGCTAGCCCTAATAATTGAAAAGCGTTAGCTTACACAGGGTGCTGTATTATCTGGGAAGGCGGGGAAGCGTGCACAACAGCTAGCCCCTCGGGAACAGGGGAAGCCACAGGAGCACACCAGGAGATAACAAGCACAATGAGCTGGCAGGATGACAAGCCAAGCGCACATTCTTCCCCTGGCTCTGATTTGTTATCAGAGTTCAGTGGAAAACACACACTGCAGACAGCAGCAGAGGAAGCGTGAGGCTGCTGTGTCCGCGCGATTCTGGCCGCCTGGGCCTGCTCACTGAGTCACTCACCTCGTAGCCTTTATCCAGCAGGAACTCGGCCAAGTATGAACCATCCTGGGGAGAGAGGGAAAAAGGACAATGTCAGACACATCATGGCTGGCACAGAGGCAGCAGAGACTGAGCATTCTGAGACCAGCATTTAAAAGCGATAAGGCCTAAAACGATAACAACATAATGTTGATAAGCAGAGCATAGTGTTCACTGTTCACAAGGCATTTCAAAGACATTATCATATTGGCCCTCCACAGCAGCCCAGTGAAGTGCTATCACTACCGTCTTTACAGAGGGAGAAACTGCAATCCACGCAGGTAACGAAGCTGCAGAGTCAGGTCACCTTGGGTTTCACCTTTGCCACTTACTAGTGTCGGATACAGAGTCCCTGAGTGGTACAAATGTTTGGCTACTAACTGAAAGGTTGGAGGTCTGAGTCCACCCAGAGACACCTCGGAAGAAAGACCTGGTGATCTACTTCTGAAAAATAAGCCACTGAAAACCCTATAGAGCACAATTCTACTCTGACATACATGGGGTCGCCATTGAGTCGGAGTTGACTCCTCGGCAACTGGGAAAAAAGTGTGTGATATACACAAAACAAGGGTTGCAGAGCAGAAGAGCTTGGTGCTACCAGAACATAAAATTGGACATTATGCTAATCTGAGGTTTATAGAAAAGAATTACTGGCAAGGCTGAGGTGAGAACCATGGGACTCAGGAAAAGGGAAGGATGTGAAGAGGAGGTGGAGAGCTCGGCATGTTGGCATCACTGAGAAGGGCCATGTGGGCTGTGAGGTGCAGGAAGATGAGCACTGGACAGGACTCCAGGCAATGCAGGGCATAGGCTTCTAACCCAAGAGTGTTGGCTCGACTACTAACCTAAAGGTTGGTGGTTCGAACCCACCCAGTGGCATCACAGAAGACCCAGAGATCTGCTTTCATAAACATTACAGCCAAGAAAATCCTATGGAGCACAGTTCTACTCTGGAACATGGGGTTGCAATGAGTAGGAATCAACTTGGTGGCAAACGGTTTGGTTTTTTTGGTTCAGAGTAGGGGAGGGGACATGATAAGAGAAGTATCCTCATCACTGAGTAGAGTGCACACACAGTCTTTACAAAAATGGAAGAGTGCTTGTCTTTTATAAAACGGTAAGTACTTCATCTGCATTAATTTTAAGTCATGTAGCTAATGTCTATAGCAAGATAAAGGTACGTGACTAAACACAGAGATTCTCTGGTTTTTAATAAATCTTTAAAAAAATTCTGGGTAGGGGTATTTATTTAAAATAAAATTTCATGTGCCATCTTTAGGGAAACAAAGTGTGAGTCAACTAACCTATAGAGAAAGAGGTCAAAGCTGAGAACTCGCTCTTCTAGAAGCGTTAGAAAGAGCTGCTAGCCTCTCTCAGGAAAATAACTGGACAGGCATTTTACAATTCATCCTGCCATTACTCTTCTGCTCTTAGCCCGGGCAGAGGCCTGCCATCCCATCCAGATGTCAACATAAAATTGAGAGGCTCCAATTACTGAGCTCTGTGTCCTCAAAAGGAGTTGGGGATGTTTGGGTTTTTTTCAGTTTCCTCAGTGAGAAAAGCTTAAAAGAAACATCCTTTTGCACTTCAAAAGTTCCTACCAGATATTCCAGGAAAAAAGAAAAATGAAGCATGCCTTATTATTATTATCACTACTTGGCCTAAAAAGCTAAAAGCTGGAACTGGAGATGTCCTATGGGTCCTGAAAATGACCCACTGCCAAGCGTGTGTTTATGACATGAATGTAAAAGTCATGCATAAATTCTGTCAGAGTGACAAGGTAAGGTATGCAGGGGACACATTTTGTGGTCCATTAAAACCTCCAGTAGATTTTCTTCTGACTTCTTGACATAAATATTCTGGTTTATAGACTCGTGTGGAGAAGAAGAGAAAAGCTTGGCATATTCCTTTTCTTCACAATCTTATGCACACACACATTTGCATGGTTTTTACACACCCGATATGCAAGCTAAATCAAATAATGACAAACCAGGCCGGCCTACACTGCCACCAGAAATGTTGGCACAATCAGTAGTCCTATAAATTGAAAGAATGACAAAACAGTTCAATAGAAAAATCATTTGCAATAATAGTAATAATAACTGTTATTATATAGCAGATAAGAAAATCCTGGAAAGTATGAGATTTTTTGTGGTATTTTCTCTTTTTTAAAGCAGGCAACACTATATTTTTCACTTTTCATAATTCTCTTGGAATAAAGACTTAAAACACTTTGTGTTCTAGCACAGTTGCATAGAACGTTTTGCTTTTTATTTTAAAGGTAGAAGTGAAAGTGCTAGAGATTGGGGGCTGGGAGGGGGTCAGAGGGAGCCTGTGATTATTTAGAAAGCTGATGTGAAACAGGCCTGCCCAGGACTGAACCCTGTCAATAAGGTCTTGTTCTTCTCACCCAGGCCCTTCTCAAACTTTCCAACCACGCTGGAACATTCTGAACCAGCAGGGCACTCACTTCCTCTGCACTTCCCTGCCAGGCCTATGGAGAGATAGCCAGGCCTCACAATGAGTGGGAAACGGGGCCCGTGGGGTGCTCCTGGTTTCAGACTTTCACCAGTCCTTCCCCCAGGCCCCCTGAGGTGACTCCAGGGAAAGATACAGTATCTGCGTGAGTCAAGCCTTTGCCAAAACGGGTGGCTGCTGTTTCCGCTGCCTCTTTAGAAGCAGTGGCTGCTAGAGAAGACTTTAATCAGGCAAATGACTAAACTGTCATGGCAACTGAGGGGCTGTGGCTAAATGCTCACTTCTGGCACTTCACTCCCCGGAAACCAGGAACCAGTGGTCCAAATTTCCAACTCCCTCATTGTGAACGCATTCATCTGCTATAAATTTCAGCATGGTTTTCAATCCTTGTTACAGAAAATGTCTTAAATGGAGAGACACTTATTTAAGGGCTTCTCTCACTCCTTCCTGTAGGATCTGTAGGATGCTCATCTATTTCATACCAGTGCTCCACAGTTTTTTAAGTAAGCAGCATGGCTTTCATGTTTTGGCACAGAAATATTTTCTCTCTTACTCTCCCAAGAACTGAGGTGACCGAGGCCTGAGGACGCTAGCTGACTTCCCTATTACCACACTACCAATTACACACCAAGCCAGGACTAGAATCCAAATCTTCCATTATTTTGAACTGGGAAATCACCTCCTTCTCCCCAACCTTCTCCACCTGGGACCTAACAAAACATGCCAAACCCAACAAAATAATGAGAACATAAAGGGTTCGTTTTTAAACCAAACTGGTTGAGTCATTTTCCATAATAGATTATTTTCTGAATTGAACAGTGCTTCCAGTTTTAATCAAGTGACCCAAACCCAGAGAAGCCACGTAATTTCAGAACACTCCAGAGTTCAGAAGAGAGAGAAAGGATGCAGTGCCTGAAGTTTCCCAGGCCTTGTTCTTGCCCTGTGGCCAAAAGGGCCAGATCTGAGTCTGCCTGACACCTACAAGTCCCTATACTTGGGTATTTCTGTTCTTCAGAGAGGAGGGCCTTCCCTTCTGGTGGAGTATTTAGAAATGTTCCAGAAAGAGACACATCAAAATGAAGAGTGATTCTAGAAATTAGTAAAATCATAACCTAACTACAATATGAAAATTATTTATAATTCTGTATCTATAAAAAGCTGATGGAAACAAAGAAAGTTCCCCTTCTCCCAGACGGCCAGAGAAAACTGGCAGAAGCACTGACCAACATTCACATCCACTTCTGAGACCAAACATATTCTTGGGTCAGTCCACTTTGTGTGAGAAGAGAGACCAGTATTTCCTCTCCCTTTTCCAGCATGGACACACTGACAGCCCAGACAGACACACAATGAAACTCCCTTAGATGTAATGTGAGCCCTGCCCTCTGAGCTGCATGATATCCATGCTGTAGACTTCTGCCTGAACATCGCCTGCCAGCCGTCTTTGAATGGATAAGATATGTAGTTATCTGGTGTCGTGGTTTGAAATATGCCCCCCAAAAAATGTGTGCATCAATTTGACTAGGCCATGATTCCTGGTACTGTGTGATTTTCCTGTATGTTGTAAACCTGCCTCTATGATGTTAATGAGGGAGGATGGATGGCAGTTGTGTTAGTAAGGCAGGACCTGATCTACAAGACTGGATCTGAGGCACTCTCTTGAGATATAAAAGACAGAACTGAGCAGTGAGACAGGGGGACCTCATACCATCAAGAAAGCAGTGCCGGGAGCAGAACGTGTCCTTTGGACCAGGGTCCCTGCGCCGAGAAGCTCCTAGTCTGGGGGAACACTGACGAGAAGGCCGAGAGAGAGAAAGCCTTCCCCTGGAGCTGACACCGTGGATGTGGACTTTTAGCCTACTTTACGGTAAGGAAATAAGCTTCTCTTCGTTAAAACCATCCACTTGTGGTATTTCTGTTATGGCAGCACTAGATAACTAAGACATCTGGCTAAAGAAATTGTGCCACTGGTAAAATGAATGCCCTTGTTTAGATCATGTCAAGCACCAGGAAACAGAATACTCCTTCTGTGAGAAGAGAAAGACCTCACTTACACCGCCTTTCTCTCAAGCTCTTAACTTGGTATCCTAATGACTCTAAACCAGGGCTTTCAACAGGTTTGTCTGGTGCGAACCCCTGCTGACAACTGGCATTTCTAACAAGTTCCCAGGCGATGCTAGTAGAGCAGTGGATCTCCAAAATGTATTATACCTAAGAATTACCTGGTGATCTTGTTAAAATGTAGATTCTGATTCAGTATATCCGGAGTGGACAAACCAGTCGAAAGCCCTGCTCTAAACAAGCATCCTTTCAGCTAATCACAATTACAATATCAAAGTAGTCTGCACCTCCTATAGGAGAAATACAAACACCTGAGTGATTAACACAGGCTCTGTTTTCAACCAGAATGAAAGCTTCCAATGAATCAGCCGCTGGGGTGTGAAGAATCCAGAGGAGAATATACATGAAAAGTATTTACACCTGACTGTGTGCCATACAAACCACTGGACAGACTGTCAGACTCGCAGAATTAAAAAAACCAATGGGTT